TTTACAAATGGAGAAACAGATCATGCTTGCATATTTAAAAGAGAAAAAGTTCAAGATACCAACTAGACTGGTGCTTTGATTCAACAGACTGTTTCTAACTCTTATGGTCAAACTCTGTCCAATACAGCCTTCAATAGTAAAACCACACGACAGAGGACAGACCAAAGACAGCAAGCAGCTGCAATGAATATGTTGAGCCCCTACTATCAAAGTGCCTTTACAGACACAAAAATACAGGGCACCATCCTACAATAAACAAGTATTATCGGTACTGGTTACATATGGTGGAAACGTCCATCTGATGTTTTAAGAATTTCCGTTCACTGATAAGGGCTGAAACACAGATTGGATCAATAGTGGAGTTCCTGAAGGCTATCTGATACCTGCACTTGAATCTCAGATATCACTGACGTTTCAGCTTGATTCTAATCTCTTGGTTTTCTGTCAGGTTTGAGACAAAATTTTCAGCGCTTCTATGTAACCTCAGTCATTTCAGCAGGGTTGAATCAAGGCTGAGCATGACCATGAACATGCAATAATGCATCATAAAAGCAGAGTAAAGTCAGAACAGAAAATTACATTAGCTGCCAATTAATTACATGCATAAGGAGCTAAATTCTATCACATCAATTGACATAGCTCATTCAGAAGGCTGCTTTAGCATCTTAAACACAGAAAGAAAATCTGGAAAAGTCTAGAAGGAAGTTAAGGCCCGGGAACAGAACAAAAACAACACTCAGCACATCAACAGCAACGCAAATACAAGCAGTGACCTCCAAAACAAGAGTGTCAGAGTTGCACGCTTCTTTGGTCAGAGCCATCCACAACAGTGCAGTGAAACTTACTGCCTTTTGGTAACTGAGCTAACTGTAATGATTTCTCCGATATATTGGAAAGCAATTGATTGGTGTAAACTGTAGGTTTTTTTTTTTTTTAAATTCAATACGCCATTTTAAGCCTTAGAGATGTGGAACATAGGGAAATTTTACATTTAGAAAACAAAACTTGCACAAATACATTTTCTCTGCTATTTGTTAACATTTGTCGACATTGTTATTTTACAAAAATCCACATTTTCAGAAAACAAATACAAATGCGGTGAGTGGAGGAGCTGAGAAGAACAACACGGCAAATAGAAAGGAAAGAAAGAAAGAAAGAAAGTGCCATTTCCAACCCCGTGCAATGGAAACACTTCCAAGTTTTTTGTCAAAATTGCTTTTTAAAATCACTCCATAGCCTGTTAGCCAGGCACATAAAAACCAGCTGCACGGACACACTGCTGAGGATCAGGGGAACCTGCATCAGAGGCAGCAGACAGAGCCTAGCCCAGTGGCTCATCTCTTCCAACAGCCCAGTTGAGATTAGTCCCTCATGTTTCCACATCCCTGTGTAGCAATTTTGCCTGCTTCAACTACACAGATGTAGAGACACATTAAATACATTGACTTTTCTTTTCTGTGACAAATGATGATCTTCCCTTACCTGTGGTTGAAAACAGAGGCCTGGCAAGATCCTGTGGGTAATGGAAGCCTGGAAACACCCCGGGGGCAGGAGGTCTGCTGAACAGGTCGAGTTTACCACCTATCTCTAGCTTGTGGGGATCCAGCTGCATTTGCTGTCAAATGATACAAAAGCAATCTCATTACACATTTCTCTTTTTTTATGAGAGCAAAAGAGAGGGAGTTCAGGCTCGCTCCTGCTTAGTCCTGCCAGGGAGAGTTAGTGAGAGTGACAGCAGTGTCTCTGGTCACGTACCACCGTCATGCTCTGACAGCATCTATAAGGCCATTTCACTCCGCAGCCTCTCAGCTGCCTGCCTCATCCACATGAATAAGGTCTGAAGTGAGCTCGCGGCTCCTCAGCGTACACAGCGGAGCATGCAACATGATACACTGAGTGCACTGCACCCCAGGATCAGTCAGCAGTCTCAGCCTGACAAAAATATTCTGCAGGCTGAAAGCTGCAGACAGAAGTCTAGAGAGCTGGATGACGGACTCATCTGTTTTGCAGCTCCAGTTTGGAAAGAGATTTTCCTAGGCTATGCCTTTCCTACAGCTATTGTAGCTCAGTATGAAGACAAGGGGAGAAGAATGAAAAAAACTGACTATGAGACTCCTCCGGAGGCTATTCTTACCCTGCCACTAAAGAAGCAAGCACAGTCAGACTGAGGAACTGCACCCAAGTTGAAGACATACAAGTCTCTCAATAAGTATACAGCTTAAAGATGTTACATTTGCTTACTAAAAAAAGGGACATACACTAATTACAGTGCACCTACTTAAACAATACTTATTCTTTGTTAATGGGACAAAAAATTACAGCAGGAGCTCTGAAAAAAAAATCACTGTGGAAGTCATGTTATCTGCTATTCTGCCTGGCACAGGGAGCCTCGAGCCTGTACTAGCACCCAGTGTCCCTACATCTTGTTACTTCTTGAGTTTTAAATCCCCTCCCTCTGCCCCCCCATCACCATTGCAATGCAGCAAACCCAACAACCTCTAACACAATAACTATCATTCTACTCGCCTGCTCTATGTTTTGTAAAATGTTCTTCACCGTATCGGTCATTTCATTCTGAATAGGATAATACTCCATATTCCACAGGAGGTACTAGTACAGAAGGGAAATGACATTAAACATGTATGCTTTGTAAAAAAGCCGGATTTTGGGCAAAATTACCCTCCCCCTCCCTTTCTTCTTCTGGCTGTATACTTAATATCTACTGCTCATTTTGCTACCCTTCAACCCAACTCCTTTGCCCTCAGATAAAACTTTACAGTTACTACAATAAATGTTAAAAGATTGAAAGCGTTAGTTAATCAATACAGGCAAGCTTGAGAATCACCACTAGTAACTGCTTTCTGCTCATTAGTCACTAAAATATAACCTGTAAGCCAAAAGACTTGGCTTTGTTCCATAAACTCTCTGCGTTACCTTTATCTTTTGCTGGTGATGGTAGATCTGCCAGGCAATCTGTACATGAACCGCGCACCACTTCCCGGGTTTCTGTAATGGAAAGCACAAGAATTCAGATTAATTTATACGTTAACAATCTAATCAGAAAGACTGTTTCATTTCCCTTACTGCCGAACAGACAGTTAAGCAATGAGAACGGCTGACTACCAAAATGGCACAATAGGTGATCAACTTTTTTTTTCAGTGCTGCAACTGATGATGTTTAAATTAAGAAGGAAACAAACAGGAAGAAGGTGGGATGCGCAGTATCTTCCTCCTCTCATGGAGACCTGAGATCCCTGCCTTGATCGTTCTTATGTGGGCATCCCCGTTCACAAACCAGAATGAACGGCAGCAAAGAATAATACGACACGCTTAAGAGAAAGCAACTCATGGTTAACAGTTGTTTCTGAAAAGAACTCTGTTCATTCATCCCCGCTGCACTGGATCTGCAGGCTAGGTCACACATGCGTTATTACAACTACCTGCACGTGAGGAAGAAAAGGGTATGGACAAGCAATCACCAGCATAAGCAGTGCCGCAACTGAGTGGTTACTGTTTTTCAGCTCAGTTGTGGTACTGACTTTAAGGTGTTTTCGTGGCATATTAGAAGCACAAATAAAACACATATTGACCTAAGCCACCGTGAATTTGATTACTTGCAAATGTCTGTCCATGCTCATAGCCATTTATTTCCGTGACCCTTGCTTCATACTGTGAACTATTAATGCACACAAACGGATGCAAAACAAGGTTGGGATTTAACCTGAATGTTATTAATCAGAAGCAGCTAAGAGCTAACTATGACATTTTGCTTTAAATAAAGGACGAGCCTGAAATTTTCTAGTGGACATGTTAAATTTCAAAAACACATGAACAGTATTTGGGGGGGGGAAAAAAATATATATATATATATAAATCCCCCACAAACCTTACTTACTCTTACTGGAGGCCTGTAAGGGTCTGACACCTATGGAAAAAGGAGAAATAAAACAATCAGTCTTTCTAAACCTAACCAATATACAGAAAGGTGGGAAACTTCCTTCCTCTGAACAAGTAAACGCATTTAGAAAGCAATGTTCCAGAGAAGTCCTCTGTGACACGGGAAACCCAAAAGGCTTAAAGGAGGCTTAAAACTTCTCTTTCATTTCTTGCACTGAACTCAGCAGAATTTTATGATAAACAAAGCAGTTTCACGCCAGCAACTGAACAGGGCCAGTGCTTTTATGAAGCTCATAATCGTACTGAAACAGAGTGTGTAAAACCTACTACCCTCCAAGTAGTGCTTAGGGGAAAGACCCTGAAGGGGTTTCCTGCCCCATTTCCCTTTAACTTTGTTTAAACAAGCCAATCAAACCCCTTGTATTCACGAATCGGTGGAGGCTACTCTTGTCTCACCCGGCAAAGAAACTTGTGGGCTGACTGCACATTCAGAGTCTAGAAGGTCAGCTTTCTCATCAACTGCCCTCTCTTTTTCCTACAAGCTATCACTGTGCTTACTGCAACTCCAGACAAGCTCAAAGAAAGGTTATATATTGTTGCCTACCCCTGGAGTCTTCTGCAGAAGGGTGTGGTGAACTGTGCCTGGTCTACCTGCTACATCAATAGGGTTTGAAGTCTGAAAGACAAGAACAGAGTGTGAGTAATACTGTCGGATACCAGTGTTACATTTAACATCTCTATCTAACGTTAATGGCATTAATTAGTCCATGTTTGTACTGTGCTTTGAACACGCATATTGCTACATTAGTGCTAAATGTTATCTCTTACTGACAGCCAACAGCACTTAACCACTGTGTCATCTACTATCATTTAGTAGCGGCAACCGTATTACAGCAGCACCTCTAAGCCCCAGTTGAAATCACAATCCCATTGTGCTAGGCAGTGTGTAAATGGATGGGAAGAGACAGTCCCTGCCTCCCGAAGCTTATTCTCTAGATAAAACAGGCAGAAAGTAGGAGAGGAAACAAGAGAAGTGGACTGATTCTCCCAGTGTTTGAGGCAGTAGTTGGCATCCGAGTCAAGAACAGAACAACTCAGGTGTCCCAGTCCAATATTCCAACTATCGGACCATGGCCCCTCTCTGACCGGGGCTAGGTAATACAATAGTTAAAACAGCAACAGTCCATCTATTTGGTTTGACGAGGCACAATGAGAAACCTTAGAAGGTGCTTGTGGGTCTTTTATAGCTTTGCATTGTTTATCCCATCATTTTCCAGCAAGAATTAAACACCTCATTGAACGAATCCCTGAGCCTCCTCCTCCTCCGGATCCCAGCTGTTGCCCTGTTCTAGCTGATCCCCAAGAACTCATTCATTTTCTCATTCTGGAATGCATCAGTCTCCCACTCCTGGTGCAAATGCACCTGGCGCCTCCAAACAGCTGAGTGCAAAGGGGTTAAACCTAATTCCCCAATTGATTGTTTCACTTATATTTTAGGCCAAATTGCAACAGATTGCAAACAGTCACACTGTACAAGGAATGAGTAAAATTATGGGTGTGGGGGAAAAGATCGGTTTTAATTTGTCTAAGGCTACATAACTTCCAGATTCATTCAAAGGAGCATTCTCACGTATGTAGGTAAGTCAACACACTCCCCAGGCAGATCTGTGCTCCCAGGGCCTGACAGCTGAGGTATATATAAGGTGGCAAATAAGTTACAGCTATCATACAGACAAGACTTTTAAGATCACAACATGTTAATGGCATGGTGTCATCCTGTCCGTTTGTCCCCTGGAGAAAGATGTGAACGCTTCCTCCGGCAAAGTAAACCGAATACTTCTGACCTTTTCAAGTTCTCTGCTTGTGAGAAATGGCCTTTGGGAAACTCACTGAGCAGTTTACCGTCAGCCTGGATTTATGTGCGGTGGATTTACACACACAGCTGTAGGCAACTGACATGGGAAGGAGAAAAACAAAACTAAGACCTCTGCTTTGGAAGGTAAGAAGTGCAGGATTCAGCGTGCCAAAATCAAATCATCGGGTCTGTAGCGATTATGAAGGCTTCACTTGGGAGGGAGAGAGAATGGAAAAATGGCGCAGCAACAATGACTTGAGTGGCTTTGCCCAGCAGTTCAGCTCTGTCTCCTCTAAGAAGCTGGAAAATAATGTGCCAAAGTGGCAGATCCGTTTTTCAACCTATTCCTTTTCTTTGTTCGGCTGTTAGAGGCCATGTAAATACAGCACTGTGCAGAGCTCAAGTGATGTTAGATTAACCAGGGTACCAGAGCGTGACCTTGTGATGTTTAACCTCAAACTAGCAAATGTTCTATATATCTATCGTTAAAATGAATTAAAAGCTAGCTTAGTTTATTTAGTTTATTACGGCACTTAGAACTGTTTAAAAATGTAAAGAGTCTGTGCTCGCTTTTTCTTTCTTGCTATGTAACTGTTTCTCTTTAGTCTAATGGTTTTTTACAGTAAGATCGTATCTATAAGGCTCCGTAATGAAGACGGAAACCAGAAGAGCATGCTATCAGTATATCAGAAGTTCCTCATTAACAGGAGCCTTATAGCAAAACTGAGCCCTATTTCCATGCGAGCAAAATTTTGCCAGTTCCACTTTTATTTGTGCAGCTCCTTTTCTTGGGAGGTAGAGCTGAGATCTTGACAACTTGGGGTCCACAGGGACCTCCTGGCATTCTTCGCAATAGCAACAATTACCATTGGCAGACAAACTCCATCAAGGATTATCTACACTCTGTCCCTTACATCTGCTTAGATGTAACTGTTCTCTTCCATGCCTGTATCCATTACATGCAGAATTCTTGTTGAAAAAGGCCCTTTTGAAGACTTTGCTATTTGCAATGTGTCTCAAGAATAAAAGTCTAAGGCATTTGATGGGCACTGAGGAAACACTCCAGGTTCCACTCAAAAAATGAAATCCAAGTGGAAAGGCTGCATGAGGCCTTATTTGCAGTGGTCGCTAATTGCTGACTTCCACTGACGTCAGTAGGACTGCTAGGTAAGTATACCCTGCAGCACACGCTTCGGTGTGGTTACAGAAACGACCTTCCAAAGGCAAACAGGAAAGAACTGGACACAGTGCTTGCTCTTAAAGACTTCTAACACAGTAGCAGAGTTCTATGGAGATGCAGTTTGAAATAAGAAAACTTGAAAATCACAGCATGTAAGGAAGCCAAAACGTCACCTTACAAATGGAGTAAATGCTCCATTTTCAAACAAATGCTATATCTATCTTGTTTGGATGGATTTAATACTTTTCATACATTTAAAAATATTTAATAAAATGAACAGATTTGGGAGAAAAAAAATAGCAGACTATAGTAGACACTGTAGAAGCCACTGAAAATGGTGGTTATCATGGCAACATTTCCAAATGCCAATCAGTGCTAGTTGTAATGGTACGTTACAGTTGCAATGCACCTTTCACACACACTATCTCAAAGAAGCTTGCAGGCATTAATCAACCCTTATAAAACCCACTGCAAGATAATTTCATAGATGAGGAAGCTGAGGAACAGAAGATTCAAGCGACTTGCCCAAGGTCAGACAGTGTCGGAGCTGGGAATAAAAATTCAGCTCCTTCAAATTGCTCTACTCACGTAAAGCAGTCTCTCCCTATTGTTCCCACACTCGTACAGTCAATTTTTCATTTTTACTGGGAGTAAACAGGGTATATCTTTTGCCATCTCAGTCTGTTAATTTATAACATGATTTGGGACTCATCAGTCTATATGAGCTGTAAATATTTCAATCAAATAATGCATGTGACTGTATGCTTCTCCTCCAGTTTCAGCTGACCTCCCAAGTGAACCACTGTCCTTTTCCAAGGAACAATTGCTAGTGCTAAGAGAAAACGTGCGCTAGAGGGTAGGCTGCTTTGTGCACAGGATGCTCACAGATCTGTGGGGTGATCACTTCCAACTCTATGTTCCACTTCTGCTAATTAAATCATGTGCTATAAATGTGCTATAAAATCACCAGAGACACAACTCTGAATACAGTTTCTCTCCCAGCAAAAGAACAAAGCCTGCAGAAGAAGAAGTTTGTACCTTCGGTTGAAATGCTCCCTGAAGTGACCCAAAGGGACCTGAATGTGGAAGCATGGGTGGCATTCCAGGCATTGCTGGAGGATAGGTTGGAAAGAACTACAAAAGAAAAAGAGATGCTTATGTCACAGGACAACTTGAACAATAATGGAGGTAGGTGCCAAGCTTGGCACATACAAAAGTAGTACTGTGTCAAACGAGTGCCACAGTGAAAATACACACTGAATTTGCTTTCAAAATTTTTAAGAGTAAAGCCAAAACTTGTCTTTGAACTAGTGAATTTCCTTGATAATGCATTTTTCTAGAAAGTAACTAACCAAGTGTGCCTTCAGAATTTGTGGAACTATTGCGGGAAGCACAGAGCATTCACCATTCTTAGAGGAACTGGAATGATTTGGCTTGTGTTCATTTTTTGGTTAACTTTGCATTTTTCTGCAGTAGTAAACAAATAGATCCTATTTTGAAACGTGACTTTCAAAGCAAAAAAAGAACCACAAGATGCTGTATTGCACACTAACTACAGGCAACATGCACACCACCTTGCAGTTGTGTGGGCTGGGTTAAGTTTTGCTTAGGCCTCTCCTGAGCACATACAGCAGTTTTACAAGTCCCAAAACTGTACAGAGTTTTTGTGCTTTGGAGCAGTGGGGAGCACCAGGAAGAAACCACCAGTCTGACTTACTCCTGTGACCTGAGCAAAATCTTGTGAAAGAGCCATGCACTCCCAGCTGCTGCACCGTGAGAAGCACCAGCTGCAAAGATACTGCAGTGACAACTGCTTTAGCAATTCCTGCGCATTCTCTGCCACCCCAGGCACAGCGATACAGAGCCGCAGCAGCAAAAATGCAGTAGACGGAGATTCAAAAAAAAAAAAAAAGCTCAAAGAAAATTTTCCATCTTAAAAAAATAAATAAATAAATCGAGACTGAAAAAGAGCTTTAGGAATGAATGAATCAACACACTACCCATCGATTGAAAACAAGCAAAAGAAGTGCAAGCAGAACCAGTAACAAAGACACCACCTAGAAACGTAAGCACTCACGTTGGAATGTCGAAAGTAAGGGTTGTCTAATTTGGGAGCGTACTTGTCAAACTGGAAAGAAAAGAGAAAAAAAAGGAAACAGGTGAGTTTGTTTTCTGTAGTACAGGACACATCAGGCTTTCAACACAGACAAATAATCATGGCCCATCTGTACAGCATTTAGCTCAGCCAAACTGACTGATTATTCCGTGCTCGTTCATGAGGGAGCTGACTGATTTCCCAGCGCTACGGGAGGCGGAGAGCTCGAGGCCCCCCGCTTGTTCTGGGTGCTACGGAGCCTCGCCGCAGGCTCCTCCAGCTCTGCGGCCTCCATGTAAAGCAGCTCCCTCGTCACCCAGAGAACCGTGCGGGAACTGCAGCACCAGGAAGCCCAGTTCAGCTCCGGATCGAGATCCGGGATCTACCTCTAAAGCACTCAACTAGATCACAGATTAGAAGCTGGAGAAAAACCTTTCACAAGACCACAGTTTGTACCATGGGGCAATGAATACCTGCTCCCCGTTTCCTGGGATCCTGGAAGAGGCAGAATCTGTTTTGGAAGGGGCTTAATGGCTTTAGATGCACAAATCTCTCTCCCCAAAGAGAGTGCTCCCTGGAGGAAAGGTGACTGTTAACCTTTTCCTTTCAAGCGTGGGGTTTTAACACCTTCACACATGCAGTCTGTGCCCCCTACTTATTTTTATCGCCATTTGTCCTCTACCACCTTGGAAGCAAAACCAAAGCACGTATACATTGCATTTTAGAACAATATGTACATTCTGCTGGGCAGGAAGGAGAGGGGAAGCGGGCAGGAAAAGGGAGGTCTAGGACCCCACCAAAAGCTGCTTGTTTTAGCAAGTCAGCTGCTGTTCCGCACTGCTCTATGGGCAGGAGAGTGGATTTGTAATTTCATTAATTACAGTTATCACTGGAGGCATGTCCCCTCCAGTGTAAATACCATAAATCACTAAACACATGCAGCTGTAAATTTCAACGCTCTTCTCTGGTGCTGGGATTAACAGACCTGATCTAGTGGAATATAAGAAGATGTGAGCGGACTATAACAAAGAGCCTTGCAAGCTGTTTTTGCTATGACGGCAGCCATCAACAAGGCACGGGTGGGAGGGGAGCGAGCTCTTAGCGGGATCAGGTATCACGCTTCTTAAATAACACAGCAGGTTTCTGAGAAAAGTTTCAAGGTTGTTTTACACAGACCAAGAAAAGAGGGGAAGGGGTTTACACACGAGTACACTGAGCAAACACCGGGGGCTGAATTCCGGGTGGATGGCATTACTTTAATTGTTTTGCTGCTAAGGAGATTACAACCCAACAATGTCATCGGGCAATCAACAGTGGCAAAGAAAAGCGTTGAAATACTATTTTCCTTGAGTTCTTGGGAGTTCTTCCCAAATGCTGCTTTTGCTCTTACTCCCTGCTTTTGTGCTAGTCCTAGCAGAAAAGGACTGTTTTTCTACATTTTAGATACAGTGTGAAACTGAGAAGGAAAAAAACCTGAATCTCGTTCTTCCAACCTAACAAAGTAATTGTCAGAAAGGGGGAGAGAGCGCATTTTAAAGTACTGACAAAATCCATTTGCGCCAGATATGTAACAATTTTCTAACAGCTGCAGCAAAGGCCGGTTGTGTTACAAGCAACTTCAAAGAAAAAACGCTAAAGCTTATTACACGGCCAGGAGGACGTCTCCCACAAGAAGAACCAGCCACACACAAATTAGTGCCTGTTGAAGTAATCAAATAATAAATGCCAAAATCAATATAGATTCGGGAATTAGGAGGAGGAGGGACAAAACTCTAATCAAACAGAACATATGCTGTCTTATGGCAAGAGCTCCAAGTAAGCAAGTATTATACCCCCCAGAACAGAGGAGTGGCGTCCAGAAGCCCATGTGGGGACTGTGCTTTGTACTGGAGGCCACCAATTTTGCGGTGCCCTTGTTTGTGTGGTTTGGTGTGTCATGGCACTGAGCTGGTGTAGCTCTGAGGAAGGGGTAACTGAAATACGCCGAAGGACACACAAAAAGGGGAACTAGAAGGACTCAGGGGTCTCGTGGAGACGTTATCTGCTGCTCAGTAGCAGCGTGGGGGAACTCATGGCTCAGTGTGGTGGCTCTGGACAGAAAGTGGGTCCGTCAGGAGTGCAGGGCCTGTCTCTCCGGGGCCTTGTCAAAGGACAAAGACCGAACGCCTATCTGAAATGAAGAGGACTGCTTTTTGACAGAGTGGGTTAGGCTTTTTGACCAGAGATGCTCTACTTATCCTCACATTTTGGGCTGGGGTACGCACCATGGGAGGTGCAGAGGGCGGCATGAGCGGCGTCTGGGGCAAGCTGGATGGAAAAGGAGTGAATGTGTGCTGGTGGGTGTGTTGGTGCTGATGCGTGTGTTGGTGCTGGTGAAACTCCGCTCTCAGCAGCGGCACCGGGCCAAGTGAGGCAGCGGCCCGGTCCGAACTCTGAACCAAAAACCGGTTGTTCAGCTCTTGCCTGAGCAGTTCGTGATCTAGAGGAGAGAGAGAGAGAAAAAAAAAAGACACAGAGGCCCGTGGGCCTGTGAGTTCCACAAAGACGGAGGAGAAAGAGTCAATATTCACCTGGCATTCCCTGTTTCTGCAGGTCATGCTGTGGTGGTTTTCTACGTGAGGACTCATTGGTGGAGGTAAGAGAGATGCCTGTGACAAAGTACCAATCAGAATCCCCGAATGAGGCTGGCAATACATGATTGGTTGGTTGAATGATATCAACAGGCTGGTATCTAAAGACAAGAGAGAACACCATGAGTCATCACAGCAGAAAACATCGTGGGGCGTCCGCCAGCCCCGGGTGGGCGGCACCGCCGTGAGTTTGCCTCTTTCTGGCCTCACGTGCGGGTAGCCGGATTTTTCCCATGCTAGCACAAGGCTGAAAATGTTGGGAGCGCTTTAGAGCACTAGTGGCTCACTTCAAAATAGGCAATACTGACCTGTTTCCATCGAGGTTTGGAAATTCAGAAGCATATGTGTGCTGAAAATGCATTGTGAACCTAGCACACACGTTACGCTTCAACATTTGTATACTTAGGAGACAAAATTTTGACAGGAGCCACAATGCAATGAGATAGCAACGGATTTGGGTGGCTGGTAGCTACCTGCCTAGACTGCTAGTAGCATTTTTCAGTGCGTCCCCACACCACCTACACATCCTCCTGCTTTCCAGAAGTCACTGGGACATACACACACAGTGACCAGGAATATCTGTCCTACAAATTCTGAACGCTTTTTTTTACAAATAGCATTTTTTGAAACTTTGAGTTTAAATGCTAAGCGATTCTTTCCTCACTTTCTAGCAGGCTGTAATTGACATTTGGTTCTCCTCCATGGGCCATTTCCTCTACAAGAGGAGGAGGAAGCAGCGGGAAGAGGAGAAATGCTGAACTGGTTCAGGATCTCATGAAGGCTGTAACCACTACAGAAACAAAATGCTCTAGCATACGTCAGAGGGCCTCTCCTCAGCATCTTCCTCTGGTAGAACCAAATGAGATCAAATTTGAATATTGTTTAGGATGGTGCAGGATACACACATGCATTTTCGAAATGATCTGGCTGAGGAGTATAGGAACAAACGTCCACTTCCCCAGAAGTGTCTGCCAGTATCTGTCAAATCCTTCTGTGATTTTGCCTAAGAATTCCCAATAGGAACCAGCATCCAACACGCTAGATGTTTTCCAAGCTGAGAGCAGTCTGTGACACCAGATGTTGATGACATACACCCATACCTAACTGACCTATTTGCTACTGAGCTCACACAAATCTCAAAGTTCTACCTTTTTCAGTGTAACACCCCTTTTAAATTGCAACAAGGAATATAAAAGGGCAAAAGAATACCTGCAGTTTGAAGTTGTATTTCGTATTGCGTGTACAAGCATTTCTTTCACTAACATTTTAGAGTAACATTAGAAATGTCCAAATGACTCCTTTTCAGAAGTGAAGTGGTTAAGATCTTTAAAAATAAGCACCCTGATCCGAAGTTTCAAGGTCTCTACTAGCATTTAGAAGTCTACATCACACTGAAAGTCACTTCTGAAAGCAAATTTGGGGTGCCTAAGTCATTTGCTTTTGAGTTACAATATGCTGCTAAAAGCAGGTATTGTGGGCTGCCACAATCCATATAACTAGTACTAACACATGGACAGAAACGGTGAGCAAAAAGTACATATACTTGTGCATTAAAGCCTAAGGCACTGAACCAAAAGGGCTTGTAATGCATTCTTCTTGGAGCAAGCAAACAAACACAAAACAGAGCGAAAGCACTAAGCACCAAAACCTAATATCTATAGAGAATATGAGTACGGTTTCATGTATGTGTGTGCTTGGGCGTATGTTTATGCACTTAAATCTGGCATGACTTAAGGAAACTGAATCCTTCCGTTACCATTAAGATAATCCTTTTTTTTTTTTTTCTGAGGGAGAGATTAAGTGAACTGGCAGTTATCAGTGCTCTGCTAACCCATTTCTTCAAGAGACTTGACATCAGGCTGGTAGATATGCAGCGGGCTCCGACCCTTAACCCTGTACCACAACTTTGGCCTTTGTCAGGGAAAGTAAAGGCTCGTAGATGTTTGGAGGAACAGTGTGGCACCTGGAAGAGTAGTTGCTTCTTAGCAAGGATGGGATTGCTGACCCAGTTGCGTGAGAAGCTTTGGGCAACGTTAGCATCAGTCCCTAGTTCTTGTGCCTGTCAGTGAGGCCTTGCCCGATGGGTCTGGCCATATACTCAAGTACATGTACTTGAACTCCCAAACGCCACTGCTCTGTGCGCACACATGTGGTGAGCATGGAAGGAAAAAAAAAAAAAGATATTTGCTGATGTTGCTAAGTACCCTCCCATTCAGGAGAGAAGACAAAGACTGGTGTGTTGCCTGTGTGTCATACATATGAGCCAGCCTTGGTGCCCCTGAGTAGAGTGCAGCAGGCCACAGGAGGGTTGCTCTTAATTTCCTTGTATAAGCTTTAGTTTTCCAAAGGAAGAGATGACACCAAAAGTACATTCTTGTGATTCAGAGACCTCAGTTACTAGCATCAACAAATGCAGTAGCTTAGAGCTCTGCTTCTGCTCTTGGGAACATGGACACGTGAGCCAAAGGGAACTTAAAGGAAATACACTTTTTCTTCCAAAGAAGGGGGATAAAAAGAAGAGGAATAAAAGGAGACCTCAAAAGGCCATACCCTCTCTGAGTGGCTCTTCTACGCTGGTGCTTTTACTGAGAGCATATGTGCACTCAAACAGCACAGCAAGGACTACACTGCTAGCAGCAGTTGGATCCTAGCTCTCCAGGGCTGCTCAGCAATACTGTTTGCTTTTAAGAAACTTTTATGTGTATGACAACAGAAGCTCCTGGCTATGCAGCGTGCTCTGTATTGATTTTATGATGTGCCAGTTTGCAGGCATTTCATATAATGCAGACAAGAGGCATTTCACTGTCTGCAGGATTAGACGCCCAGACCTTTTGCTCCACTAACTCAGGCCTCTCCTGCTTCAGCTGCAGGAGAAATCCTTTTAGTAGCAGCAAGACTTTTACCGTTTCCTGGCAAGCTGCTGAATGTGAATAGGTCACTTGATCTTACACCTCCTCAAGTTAATGGTAAAAACATACTTGCTTTCAGCGACTGCAATATCATGCTTTTAGTGAGCACATAGCTATTTCCTTTTTGCGCTACTTTCAACGTCTCCATCACAGTAGTTCTTTGCCTTAAACAGAGGAAGCAATGAATAGGTCCCCCACAGTGCTGCCAACATCTTCCCAGCCATGTGGTTGAAACTCTAGATAGTGCCAGGGCCTGTGAAAGCCGGCAGCTTTGGCCTATGTGGTCCTGCTTTTGGCTAGGAGCCCACAGTATTTTTTTTGTCTATCATCATTCTGAGAGCTCACTTTGGACCAATTCACATTTCTCTTTCCTTTAAAGGAGCAGTTCTAAATAATGGGACATTATTTAGTTCCCAGAAGAAAAAAGGGGGATGCAAGGTCATCAGAATTTTCAGCAGCAGATCTGCTCTTTCCTTTAACTGGCTTCGGAGGAAACAGAAGGGGACGTTTTTTGCAGAATGCTTGTCCTACTTAATCCCTGCTGAGTTAGTTGTAGAGTCAAATGCCAGATCAAAAGGAGGCCCCAGCAAGAGAAAGTTGCAGGGAAGTCTCCAGCTGCCAGGGCCTCTTCCAGGAACAGCTGTAGGCTAATGGATAAGCCATAAACACGGCATTTAGGGCAGAAGTGACAATAGAATAGGGACCAGGGTGAACAAAGGAAATTTTCTAAAAGGATGTAAAGATAGGAAGAACTGAACAGCAGAGCTTGTCAGCTGAGCTGTCCCTGCCTCCTACAGAAAGGCTAAGCAGCCGTGGACATTCAGAGAGCGCGTGCTCCTGCAGGCACGGAGGATCCCGCTCTGCCAGCAGGATGTGCTGCTTGTTGAAGGAGCAGTCCAGGGGATAGGCGTGGGGGCTTCTTACTTGTCCTTCAATTGGAACAACTCTCTGCGCCCCTCAGAAGCAGCTTCAGGTCAGTTCTAACAGCAGCAGCTTTCATTAGAAGGGGGAAAAAGAAGGGGAGAATGGCACACTGCGCCACACTAGAATGTCACGCTGGACAACTCACCCCCCAGAAAGGAGTTTTTTTTTTTTTTTTCTAGAAATCATTTTGAAGACTTCCTATAGGAAGCTACAGTGCTGTCTCTACAACTGAATCTCTCGTTTGATAAAGTATGTCCAGGTCTCCTACCCTTTTCACTAATATTCTTACGATTCCAGCACACGTTGCCCCAGAACATATCTGCATCACTTTGTTTTACCTGCCTGTCAGCCAGCCCATCTCTCCACACCCTCCAGTGCATGCATGGGACACCAGCCCTGGAAGAGAGAGGGGAACCTACCTGCAGGGTGACCTGGTATCACGAGGCTGTTGGTAGGTAACGCTGGTGGAGGTGGCAGCGTGGGTGGGGTGGCGAACATGGCCGGATGGTGCTGGTGTTGGGTCTGCGATCTGAGAGAGAAGTGCGAGGTAGCAAGATTAGAGATGGAGAGGGGCAGGGCTGGGCCGGAGGAATGGTGCGGAGGGATCTGGGGAGAGAGGGGAAGGTGCTTCGGAAGGCTGATGCTTGTTGCACTACTAGCACTGCTGCTCCGGCTGCAGAGAGAAAAACATGGGAGGGAAGGAGGAGAGAGAAAGAGAGAGAGAGAGAAAGAGAGAGAGAAGAGTCTGTTACAATACAAGTTGACACAATGCAAGAACACTACCAGAAACAATACAACTATACAACATTGATTTCCCCAATCTTATATGTATTTTTTTCAGTTGGGGGTGAATAGACCAACAGATCTTAATGTAGACCTTAATGAACTTCCCCATCGGGGCAGGACAGGGCTTGGGTTCTCCCGAGTGATATTTCCTTTGATGCTTGAGCAGGCTGCAACCCTCAGAGCTGTCTGTGAGCTAATGACGGGAGGCCACAGAGGCAGTTGGATTTTGCACCTTTATTTAGCCTCCGATGACCCTGAAGTGGCCATGTGCACCCTTGTGATTGCAAGATGTAATTACTGTAACTCCTTTTTCTGTTACTCTGGGTGTACCGAGCTGCATACTGCGAGTGACTGTGGGACCAAGTTACCTCTGCTCTGCATGCTGTGTGGTTATAGTCACGAAAGCATGCAAGCACACACCATGTTAATATATTATTCTCATAATAATCCTATATTTTAAATATTCTTTATTATTATTACTCTACTGCAAGTGATCTCAGTTTTGTGGGGTGAAGGATATTTTCACTGCATTTATTATTATTTATTGTAATTCCCACAACACCGGTATTTGTTGCAGTCTAAACCTCTGAGGTATCTTGAACAGTTTGAATTATTATTAGTCACTTACACTGTGGTGGTTTTTACAGGGTACAACCAAGATAGCTTAACTATGCTTGATACTATGAAATATACACTTACTGGCAGCTCTCTGTATGCATATTTTGACCCTTGAGCCGCCAAATAAGATGCTTTAATACAGTTTTCTAATCTTTTGCAACTACTCTCGTTCTGGTTTCGGAGACATGTTTTCTGTACCAGCAAAAGGACAGGTGCCAGTTGAGTGGATAAACTCTTCTTTCTAGAAACTCTTTCTCCATATCGTTTTTATCCATCCTACTTACTGGACAGAGACAGTTTAAGGAGAAAGCTAAGCCTCCTACTAGACCTACACATTTAATAAACATGTCAGACTGAAGCAGTTTTTTCAGTCTACGCAGGAGTCCCATTCTAATAGACGCAGCATTTGCTAACATAGTCATTCCTCTTCTGGTGCTAGTGAACCAACGAAATTGTGATAACCATGAACCAGTCATCTACAGATTTTCAGTGGAAGTTTACACAAATATGAACACAGTGAAGCTGTTCAAACTCAAGCTACCGTGAATTTCTAAGGCCAGAACTGGCTGGTCCTGACAGGACAGTGCCCAACTCCACTAGAAACTGGGCCTAAAAGAACATTATCCCACAGTTATACATGCCTTACTCCCAGAAAGGGGGCATTTATCACCACGTTTCAAATGCACCTGTGCACCACTGCTGGGAAACCCAGTTTGCGGAGCTGGCCCAGGAAGTACAATATCCAAAACATGGAGCATCTCACCCAGAAAGTGAGAGTGCTCTTGGCTTGCTTCCCAGCTATTCCTATGCCTTTTGGAACAAGCTTTATCCTGACAGTAGCATAAAAAACTTGATACAGGTGTCCTTTTTGCCTACCTGATATTATTTAGTCCGTTGTGGGCCACCTGATGATGCACTTGGTAGTTGAGAGGTGGAGGGATGTGACTCTGAGGCTGGGTCCGAAGCTCAGGTATTAATTGAGGCTGAGACTGCGGCCGAGGTTGAGGTTGTGACTGTGGCCGAGGCTGCGGCTGAGGCGTGAGCCTTGGTGGTGCTGGTGCTGAAATCACTGGCTCCTTCTTCAACAGCGGGCTTGCTCTGGCGCTTGACGTGGGCGCTGAGGAAGTAGAAGTCACAACAGCAGCTACTGGCTGGGGGCTGGGGATAGGCAGGGCGAAGGGCACGTCGGTGCTCAGTTCCCGGCTCCGCTCTAGCCCAGACACCTTTGGGACATTGGCTGCTTTCACTTCTGGCTTGTCATTCAAGGTGGGACCTTACAGAGGGACAACAGAAAACACAAAGCGCATGCTGAAAGGTCTGCATGGCAGAACATGAAAAAAACAAGTCATGTTTCAGCTTGTGGGTGCATCGTGGGAGCGCTGCTGCTGCAAGATGGACGTGTGTTTGTGTGACTGTCCTTCCGTTGTCCTTGCCTGGTCAGTCCACGGTACTTTGTTAGCATGTGTGTAAAAGACTCAGGTGTCACCAAATGAATGCATACTACAAAGAGCATATAGCTCTGCGACTTCTGCAGAGCCCCAGGGTTACATACAGTAGGAGTGTGAACATGTCTCGAGTTACTGTGGCAGTATTTCCTGCTCAATTTAAGTTTTAAGGCTCGATAATAAATTTATGAACATGAGCCCAGTCACTAACACCTTTCATTTTCTCAGCAGTCTTTCACGGTGACGTACATTATGTTTATGCTTCGTTGCAAGCTACAACACGCCACGACCCACCGACTAATCACTAATAATGACAATCCTACCTGGATTCTAGGAAAGAGGCCACCCGGGCAATTCTTGCAGCAAAGGAGGGGACAGCTCTGCTGTGACAATGTGACACTACCTTTCCCTGACCACACACTTGTGAACAAGAGAAGGCTGGACAAACCCAGTCCTAAGTGCGGAAGTGTGTCCTGCTCATCCCAAGTATCTCACGTACCTGATGCGAGGTGCGTCAGAGCTATAAGGGATGATGTGACCTTATCAAAATACACCCGAGGTGAGAATTCCATATGGAATTACTCCTTCTACAATGCCAAGTGTTTCTCTTCTCCAAATTAAGCTAAACAAAGCAGTAGAAAGGGTTAAATGTCTGGAAAGGAAATGGGAAAAGGGAGGAAAGGAGGAGATTTCAAATCGAGCAGTATCCAAAAGGCCAAAGACAAGTGAAAGAACCTACGTGAACATGATACAGTTCACAGTATACCTCGCTTTCAACATTATCTGTGCATCCCTGCGTGCACGTATATCCACAATCAACCACAGGAAAAGCTGTTCACGGGTTACGAGAATTAATCTTCACTTGTTTCATGTGCACACACTCCACTGTGCACACCAAGGTTCTCCATGACATCTTCTATAGAGCCTTTTATCATCTACCAGGATGTGTTGGGGGTTGGTTTGCTTTAAGTTGGCTTTTACAGACATGCGGGAGATGCTTCCTACACACTTTAGCATGCTTGCAACACCCTCGTGAACAAATTCCACCTCGGAAATTTTCCTGCCTCATCAAAGGACTGAGATAGTTCCTGAAGTAGGAGGTGTGGAAATAACACAGAGCACATGGCGCGAGCTAATTCTGGCGACGCAGACAGACTGACCGGGCGTTGCTCACGCAGCCTATGCGAGGCCAGATTCGTTGCTGCCAGGGTTTCAACGGCATCAGTGCTGCCAAGCTACCGTAAGACCAGAGGAAGACAGTGACGAGCCAAACGTGGTAACACGCTAGCTCACCTTCTGTTCAGAAAATATACATCTGGCGATGGCATCTCCTTCCTTAAGACAAAAGTCATTTTCATATACTGCTCTGGACTCTGTGTGTTCTATAACCAATTTATGGCTTCCTTTGTAAGGACACATATCTGCATCTACACATATATTCAGAATGAGGAAGGAGAAGGAATGGAAATAGATGAGCTATATTCATCAGCTGAAGAAGTCAAACGATCTGTAGCCTAAGCCCACAAGCAACAGAAACAAACGTTTTCAAGCACCAGCAGTTTGGCTGGAAGCAGGCACAACTGGCCCTGCACTTTCAAGCACCTTACAAGGGTTACAAGTTTAACACAACATCTGGAGGTCCTAAATTATTCACAACATAAGTACAAGGCTAACTCTGGTTTCACCGAATCCCTTTTTCCAGTATGAGTTCATCTATCATGAGTACCCTGGTTTTGAAGATGTAGCTGGACTTGGTCCCAATTTTATTTAGGCTGACAAAGATTTCACATTAAAAAAAAAAATCGTCTTTCTTGTGCACCATTCCGTTTTTATAAGGCCACCTATGGTCATAAATTTACCTCAGATTTCATTATAAACAACGGAAAAATTGCCATTGACCTTAGTCAGGCTAGGGGTCCACACACACTGGTTTTCAGAGGAAGTGTATTCACAGCTGTAGCTTCCACTGTTTTTTAGGAGCTACCCATTAAAAGCAATTGGGTTTCATTCCTGACCATAGGTTTCCTGAGAGCCTATTAGCTCTCTCCATCCAACAGGCCTCCTCCAACAGGGTTAAACTTCATACTATGTAATTATAGGCAATGTAATCTAATGGTGTATATTCAAAACACACTAGTACCACAAAAGTTAGTTGAGTAAAAAGTCAATTAGATCCAAAACAAATCAATAAAGTCTCGCATTAAAAGCAGCTGTTTGACCAGCTTTATGTACAACTATTGATTCCCTGTGGTTTCAGCATTAGTTCTCATTTGCAATTTTCTCAAAGCAAAAGCTCATGGTCCCTCGCCGACTGAATTGACCAACCAGCCCAATTGTATTAGTTAGTATCAGGGGTACATGACTGATTCCTGC